AAGTTAAAACATTTTTTCTTTGACTTATATGCTATAGATCAGCGGCTCCTTTTCTATACCCCGCACCCCTAGAATGCTTCTGATATATTCTCACACCCCTTACAAACGTTCAAAATAACGGCAATGAATTATGCATATACACTATAATTCTGAAAACCCAAGTTTTCCCACCCCGTGGAATATCATCTCGCACCCCCGGTTGGGCACCCCTGCTATATATGTAGAAGAACTTCTACGGTCATATTATCCTCATTTCCAGTTTATCAACTTATTTACATTTATTTTCCTTTAATCTTTCCCCTCCAAACTCTAGAATACTAGTAACAGTGAGATAATCATCATGATGAATAGAATAGAATAGAATAGAATAGAATAGAATAGAATAGAAGCTGGAAGGGACCTGCTGGAGCAGGAGAAGCTATATCATTTCAGACAAGTGACTGTCTAATGTCTTCTTAAAAACCTCCAGTGATGGAGTGCCCACGAATCAAAGGAATCACAGTTATGGTCTTTTCAATCATGATATTATATTACATCCAGTAATGATGGTGGTGATAGTGCTGCCGCTGCTGATGAAGAGAGGAAAATAAATCTTTCTTCCTATGAAGTTTTCTCAGTGAAATATTGCCAAGTAGCTAGTTTCTGCATGGAATAAAAGAGGCTCATGTACCATGTCAGGTGTATACAAAACACGTTTGAATTCAAAACATTTTGAAAACTGTTTTCCACTTAAAATGGCCCCTTTTGAGGTTGAAACAGTTGTTTCTCATCTGAAATGGGCTGTTTTGACCATTTGTAAATTCTCCCTCCCCACACCTCTAAACAGATCTGTCTGAAGCTCCGAACGCTCTCTGAATGATGGAAAACCACCCATTTTGAATGTGAAACAGCTGCTTTGCATTCAAAGAGGGGTATTTTGAATTCAAAATGGAAAAGACTTTGTACACCACTATTATGTTCTAATCAGCAGAGCAAAGAGCAGTTTTGGAAGAGGGCATTTTAATTGGATAAAAGAGTGAGTGGTGGTGGTGGTGAGGGGTGGGGAGAGAATTATCCCTTTTCTTTTTACTGTTTAAGTGGGAGGAAGCCATACTGGAGATCTAAAAACAGAAGTCTCCATTCTGCCTTGTCCTTAGAGCTAAACTCGATATGATCTAAGTGTCATGCATCCCAGACTAGATTTAGTTTAAACTGCATGTTTAACCGGAAGTAAAATAACGCAAAACTTACCAGCGCATAATCTTTTCTGAAAGCACAGGTCTACTTATACATTTTAAAGCAGGGTTCCCAAAGTGGTCATTATTGGTCTCCAGAGTCAATGGGACTATCCAAGGGGTTAATAATAATAATAATAATAATAATAATAATAATAACAACAACAACAACAACAACAACAACAACAACAACAATAATAATGAAGAGGAAGAAGAAGAAGAAGAAGAAGAAGAAGAAGAAGAAGAAGAAGAAGTAGTAGTAGTAGTAGTAGTAGTAGTAGTAGTAGTAGTAGTAGTAGTAGTAGTAGTTGGAAGGGACCTTGGAGGTCATTGAGTCCAACCCCCTGCTCAGGCAGGAAACCCTACACCATTTCGGACAAATGGCTGTCCAGTCTCTTCTTGAAAACTTCCAGTATTGGAGCATTCACCGCTTCTGGAGGCAGGTTGTTCCACTGGTTAATTGTTCTCACTGTCAGGAAGTTTCTCCTTAGTTCTAGGTTGCTTCTCTCCTTGTTTAGTTTCCATCTGTTGTTTCTTGTCCTGCCTTCAGGCGCTTTGGAGAATAGCTTGACTCCCTCTTCTTTGTGGCAGCCCCTAAGATATTGGAACAATGCTGTTATTCTTAGTAGTAGTAGTCCTATTAAAATAATTTTAATACAGTAAGCATTTGGAGGCCAATGAACAGTCTGAAACATTATGAAGGGGTCAATGAGCTGAAGAATTTGGAGAGCTCTAAAGGATGTATCACATTCACCTTAAATCAGAGCCAAACTTTGCAAAGCATTCCTTAAATTACTGCAGAACATATTTAAGAAATATGTAAGAAACTGCAAGGAATATAATTCCTTCCATCCTCCACCATCTGGTCAGAGCTGAAGAAGCTTCTTGGATGAGAAGCGAAACGTCTTCAAGGAAAAGAACTAAGTCTAGTTGCCTTTTGAAAAAGCACTTTGGGGGCAACCATGACCTGGATGACTAAGAATCTCCATAGACAGATCTTTAAGAAACATCCCCGTCTTAGAACTTGAACGCTCTGTTGACTAAGCTGTGAACCTTCATCATCCAATTTAGATCTCTGGACCACCTTAGCTAAAACACTAGACTGCAGCCCTAACCTGCAATAGGTGGATAATGCCAAGTCAAGTTACTTTTCGCAAGGTTTATGTAAACCACAGCTGAGATAATACCCACAAAATGCTTTGGATATTCAGGACATTACGGAACTGCTAGCTTACAAGAGGATATCTGGAAAGGAAATACTGAAAAAGAGAACTAGGGACAAGTACTTGCCACATGCCATTTATTTTGGGTGCCCACTTTGAGATAAGCTTGCATTTTCTCCACGCTTTCCTCCCCCGCACTTTTCCCACGGAACAAAAGCACTTCCATGTGAAGAGAGCGCCTTCAAATTCACCAGCTCTGGAATTTTTTCCCTTGTTATGAAAGCCTGGGACTGCAGGTCACTTGACTATGTACTGAAGATAAACTTTTCACAAAGGGCGCCCTGTTTGAAGCTGCACCTGGTATTGCAATCTCTCAATGCGATAACATTTGCTAGAAAAAATTGTTATTGGAGAGCTGTGAGGTTGGACTTAAGAGGATTCCATTTATAACAGCTATTAGCTTGTGAGTGAGGCCATAAAGTTTCCACCGTTTACAGAACGTGAAAGAATACTGGTTTCTTAATTGCAACTTTATTCATAGACTAGGTCAATCGTATTTAATTCAGTTTATGCCCTCATAAGACCATAAGGAAATTATATTTGGGTTATTTTTGCTCATGGTTTGAACTGTAGGGAATCCTACTATTACTGCAAAATGGTGGGTTTTGTTTTGTTTGTATGAAGACTGATTTAGGTAGGCAGAATAAGTACATGACTGCTCAGAAAGATTAGGAGAGGCTTTACTTTTTAAAAAAAACGACGTTTGATCTAGGAATTCTAACTTATTTTCCTTTTATTTTCATAAGTTATTACATATTTAACATTACATACAGATAGTCCTCGATTTACAACCGCAATTGGGATCGGAATTTCCATTGCTAAGCGAGGCCGTTGTTAACTTGAGTCGCACCTGATTTTATCACTGTTGTTTTTGCCCCAGTTGTTAAGCAAATCTCTGCAGTTAAGTAAATCACACGGTTGTCAAGCAAATCCACTTTCGTCCACTGACTTTTCTGATTGGACGTGGGCTGGGTTTACAAATGGTAACCATGCGATCCCAGGACGCTGCAACCATTGTAAATTCGGCACATGCCAATTGGGAAGTGCCCGAATTTTGATCACGTGACTGCAAAGGTTGTGTGAGGATCGGTCATCGGTCACTTTTTCCGTGCCATTGTAACTTCAAACAATCACTAAACCAGTGGTTCTCAACCTGTGGGTCGGGACCCCATTTGGGGTCGATCGACCATTTCACGGGGGTCGCCAAGCAAGGCTGTCCGCCATTTTTTTTGTCCACCATTTTTCCCCCTTTTCCGGCGGGTGCCTTACCTCCCTTGGGCTGGGCCAGCTGGTGGTCGACCTGCTCCGTCTCTGCCGCTTGCCAGCTACGCCTTGGCTGGTGCAGGGGGCAGAACCACGCATGCGCGGCGCTCCCGGGCAGGGAAAGTCCTCGACTTACTACCGGTTTAGTCCTCGACTTACGACTGGTTTAGTCCTCGACTTATGACTGGTAGTCCTTGACTTATGACCAGTTGGGGTCGCGGCATTAAAAAGGTTGAGAACCACTGCACTAAACAAATCATTGTAAGTCAAGGACTGTCTGTACATACAAATGCACACACACACACACACACACACACACACACTAATACAGCCAAGGTGGCCAGAAAGGCCTAACAGAGACTCCACCTCCTCAGGGTTTTGCGGAAGAACAGGGTAGAATGACAACTCATGACCTTCTTCTACCGGTCTACTATTGAAAGCGTTCTCACATATTGTATTGTGGTTTGGTATGCTGACCTGACAGCAAACGGACAGGAAGGTATTGCAGAGGGTGGTGAGCATGGCACAAGACATCGTGGGCTGTTTCCTGACTCCACTGGATGACATCGCCAGGCCCCATTGCCTTGGCAGAGTGAGGAAAATTCTCAGGGATGACTCACACCCTGGTTGGTACCTTTTTACTCTCCTACCATCGGGTAGGAGATACAGAAACATAGCCAGCTGTACCAACAGGCCGAAGAACAGCTTTTATCCATGGTCTGTCAGGCTTCCGAATGGGACATAACTTTATAACTTTATGCATGACAGACTCGTGAGGCCAGCGTGATGTGCAATTAGTTCACAGGGTGAGATAAGTTGGGGGTTTGTAGTCACTGTGAGTTTGTGGTGAGGGGGGGCACAGAGGGAGGTTCAGTCAATTTCACTGTATACATGTTATACTTTGATAATAAAGGGTTTATTATTATTAAAGTCTTAAAGGATACTCTGCTTTGATTGAAATGACCTTCAAGGCTGTCTTATGACAAGACTCGTGAAAATGGCTCTTTTGATGCATTTTGCTGGTTTTCCATTGTGTGCACAGAACCCAGTCCTTCTAGTACAGGTAGTCCTCAAGTTACGAATGTAATGGAGCCTGCCCTTCTTGTGGAAAAAAAAAAAAGATCTCGCAAAGTTGGAAGGTCTGATTGAACTTTTTTTTTTTTAGTCCCAGGAACTTATTTTGTTTCCCTGCGCACCACAGCAGAGAAACGCGACAGAGCTGGAAAGCCGGTTTGCTTAGGAGCCCCACTTGCACTTTAGCAAAGGAATGCTTTTGGGAAGCGAGGGGAGCAGGGTGGTGATGTGCCAAGCTCTCCAGCTTCACGGCAGCGGAATTTGTGAAATCCGGGCAGGTTTGGCACTCCAGCAAGTAGCAGAGCAGGGCCGTGCCCGCTTGCGAGAGGCTGGGGCTCGGCAGGAAAGGGGAGAGGCTGGACCGGCGCTTCTCTGCCTGGCTGGACAAGGGCTCCGACACCCAAGGCTGCGCAGGAGGCGAGCATGGACAGTTCAGGACTCTCAGGCTTGGCACCAAAGTAGCATGTTGCAGCATCTCTGTGGTCATTCGTAAGTGAGAAACGACTGCTGTAATGTTGCAACATACGTAACTATAACTACTTTTTGGCAGGGATGTCGTAACTTTGAACATTCGCTAAGCCAATGGTTCTCAACCTATGGGTCGCGACCCCATTTGGGATCGATCGACCATTTCACGGGGGTCGCCAAGCAAGGCTGTCTGCCATTTTTTCCCCTTTTCTGGTGGGTGCCTTACCTCCCTTGGGCTAGGCCAGCTGGTGGTCGGCCTGCTCCGTCTCTGCCGCTTGCCAGCTACGCCTCGGTCGGCGCAGGGGGCGGAACCACACATGCATGGCGCTCCCGGGCAGGGAAAGTCCTCGACTTATGACCGGTTGGGTAGTCCTCGACTTACGACCAGTTTAGTCCTCGACTTACGACCGGTTTAGTCCTCGACTTACGATCGGTTTAGTCCTCGACTTACGATCGGTTGGGGGTCGCGGCATTAAAAAGGTTGAGAACCACTGCGCTAAGCGAACATTCGTAACTTGAGGACTACCTGTAGTTCTTCAAAGGAAAGGATCATTAATTGGAAGCACTGAGATGGTTCTGCATTTTTTTGGGGGGGGGAATCGAGGGACTCTGGTGAAATGCATTGCTCCATAAACTTCATTGATTTGGCTTCTGAAGTGGATTTCCTGCTTGCTGAATGGAGCAGTGAAATTGCTTGTCCATTGTGAGCCAGAAATGCTGCAGCGTGCAAACATGTTTCTTGTGTTAAGTAACAGTACTGTAGTCTTGTAAGTCTATATGTACAAGAAAGCTTATTAGCAGTTGGTTGGTTATAAGCTTTCTTTGGCATTTCAAGATCTGCACTTCTCCTGTGGAAAATTACCCAACATCCACTAAATAACCTCCGTTATGGAAGCCACAGCATGGTTCTGTTTTAGCTTCTTGTGAAGCTCCTGCCAAATGACTACTCTTCCAAATTTAAACAGTGAGCTAATTAAAAATGTGCTCAAACAGCAACCAAAATTCACCTCATTTATTTTTTGAAATATTTTCTTAAGTGCAAAGAAGACATCTGAAACTAATAGGAGGGAAATGTAGCTGAAACCTTTTTACCTTGAATTTTGTTGCTGATGTTGTTCAAAGTTTCAAAAAAAAATCACAGGCAGAGAAGAAATGGACTCAAAGGAAGGATTAAGCGCCCTTTCTCCTCCAACCCAGTGATCCATTCAATTTAATACAGTAGACTGGTTATGTTTTCCTTAAGCGAAGAAGTTGAGTGAATGCTTGAAATCTTCAGTGCATTGAATAATTTTAATAGCACTGCAGAGAGATCCAAATGTGAACAGTAAAAGATGTGAAAGAGGACATAGAAGTGCATGGGGTACCTGGCAGCATCTATTTGAACCAAGCACCTCATTTATTAATTGAATACACAGGTAGTCCTCAACTTACAACAGTTCATTTAGTGTCCGTTCAATGTTACAATGGCGCTGAAAAAAGTGACTTATGATAGTTTTTTTAACACGACCATTGCAACTTCCCTGTGGTCACGTGACCTGGATTCAGATGCTTGGCAACTGATTCATTGTTTAAGACAGTTGCAGTGTTCCCTGGGTCATGTGAACAGTGTCAGAAATTTTGGTCATAGGTTGAGGACTACCTGTATTTCCCAAATTTAACCATTCCACTGTTGCTGTGGGAAGTCTCCCATGCGAGCCACGGAAAGGATATGTTGGGTTAAAGGAGATGCCAACTGGTGCTGGACGAGTTCCAGAAATGTTCTTTGTTGACTTTTCCTGAAAATGGGTCCTGCCCAGGCTTCTAAGTGTCTTTATTTTGGGACATCCATGATGATAACGTTCTTACAATAACTGATTATATAAATTATTTTCTTCTTTGTGGGTGGTTGAATGTTTAAAAGATGTGTTTAGAGTACACACACACACACACACACATAAATGAATATCAAATATTTATTCTTCCAGGTTAATATATATTATATAACGAATGAGCTTAAGGAATGACTGGGAACTCTCCCTTTTCCTCTTCCCGTTCCCAGGTGATCTTTGCTTTGAATCAGACTCTCTTGCAGCAGGAGAATCTCCGAGCAGGCAGTCTACAGATTCCTTACAATACAGAGGACCTTATCAAGCATTACAACTGTGGAGACCTCAACACCGTCATCTTCAATCACGATACTTCCCAAGTGAGTTGTGTCTCCCCGTTCCCTTGTGCTGCTCACAGGATGGCTAGTTAGCTTCTGTGAACTGTCCATATCCCCAAGGGACGGGACATTTTAAAAACAAGTTTATTTTCACTCTTCAAAGTCAGCATGCATGCTGCTTTGTTAACACTGCAATTGGCAGTTGTACTTCCAGACACATTTTGGTTGTTTGCGTCGGATGGGCTGTTTCCGATTTGCTGGATAAGAAGAGAGTTTACAATATGTTTTATGAATTAAATGTTTTATTGTAATACAGAGGGAACACATACTTTTATTCAACTTAATTTTTAAAAGATACCACTTTTTTTTCTTTTTAACAACCCTGTAATCCCTTGCATTGGGGTAAAATCCGGGCAACTGAATGGAGCTGAGCATTTACTGGCTGGATGCCCTTCCTGATGCCTATGCGGAGTTCACAGCAGATATTTTCTCTTTGCGCCCAGAGAGAGAAATATTTGTGGCTACCTAGGATTGAACTCACAGCTTCCTGATTGTAAGGCAAGAGCTCCACTTCTAAGCCACCACATTGTTCCTTAAAAAGATACAGCAAACTAGGGGAAAATGGATTTGTCTCTCTACAGTACTTTGCCAAAATGGAGTCAGTCTGTTTTGCCATGTCTACACAATGGCTTCCTGAGCTGTGTAGCTTTTACATGAAGATAGTGAGATGTCCTACATTTCCCATTTTTCTAAGCACATTAATTTGACATGGATGACATAATCAAAGGCCTTCTATGAACAATGAAGCACATGTTAATTTCATTTTGGTGTTTATATCCACTGATATGTAGCTATTACAGGTAGTTCTCACTTAATGACTGCCCTGTTTAGCAATTGTTCAGAGTTATGGCAGTGCTGCAAAAGTAATCTTACAACTGGTCTTTGCACTTACGACTGTTACAGCATCCCCGCAGTCATGTCAAGATTGGGGCACTTTGCAACTGGCAGTCATTTATGAGAAGGACGAGGGGGGACATGATAGCAGTGTTCCAATATCTCAGGGGCTGCCACAAAGAAGAGGGAGTCAAGCTATTTTCCAAAGCACCTGAAGGCAGGACAAGGAGCAACGGGTGGAAACTAACCAAAGAGAGAAGCAACCTAGAACTAAGGAGAAACTTCCTGACAGTTAGAACAATTAACCAGTGGAACAACCTGCCTCTAGAAGTGGTGAATGCTCCAATACTGGAAGTTTTTAAGAAGAGACTGGACAGCCATTTGTCCGAGATGGTATAGGGTTTCCTGCCTGAGCAGGGGATTGGACTAGATGACCTCCAAGGTCCCTTCCAACTTTACTATTACTATTACTATTACTATTACTATTACTATTACTATTACTATTACTATTACTATTATTATTATTATTATTATTATTATTATTATTATTATTATTATTATTATTACCATTGCAGCATTCTGTGGTTACCATTTGCATATTTTACAGCTGGCTTTCAACAAGGATTGTCAGTGGAGAAGCCAGCAATAAAGTCACAAGTTGTAGTCAGGTGATGTCTTGCAAAAAATGTACTCCATACTCGAGCCGCTATTCCATACTTTTCACTATCCCAGATAAGAATGAAGACGGGAGGTCAATGTGAGACTTTAAAAGAGTGAATAAAACACCACAGATTTAGGATGGAAATTCCATGGAAGAGATGTACTGCTGCCCCTGGATTTTGGGAGACCACCTTTCACATACCCATCCACTGTCTTACAAAAAAAACCCCACTATATATTGAATACCGGGGGAGCCATGCTAATGAACAGTTCTACTTAGTTTTCTCTGGAACTCAGAGTATTCACCAAGCTGTCAAAGGCTGCTAGTAGCAGACTGGAACAGTTAATCCCAAACGCAAGCCTCTCAGAGCTTTGATTAATAAGATGTATTAATAAGAGGCTTATACAGTAGTAGCAAGAATTCTGGCAAGTAGTCTGTTTTCAGATGAGAGACCTCTGTATTGCAAAATAAGATGGGAAGTCTCTTATTGTTCTTAGGTGCTTTTCAGGAGCTGGTAGAGGTAATTTGCATCTGCTATTGTAAGTATTATATTTATACCCCTAGAACCAAAGTTCCTACAAAGTTGCAGTGATTTTAGGGTACATCTCTTAAATATGAAGTCCCATATCTATGTGCGATCTGGAGGCAGAGGAATATGAGGTGAACATTCTGCCTCTGAAGCAATTTGTTTTTCGGGGAAGATGGAAAAGAGCCCCTTCTTACATTTGCAAAAGCTGGTATAGGCAAAGGTTTCTTTCCTCCAATCCAGGAAGCCAGCTATCCAAGAGACAGTCAGCTAATCATTGACAAGTCATGTGTTTGAGATGTTTGGGCATCCTGACCCAAAGATTTTTGAGAGTCTTATGCACATGGCTCCCTGAGTAATCTCATTTAATGCTTGCTCTTAAAAGTGTGTAATGCTGGTGGCTCTCTCCAACAATCCACAAGGGGAAAATCATGCAGCTTTTCCATCACTGGCATATTTCAACAGTCTCCTGTTAACACAACACATGGTTATGCATGCGCATATTATTACATTCTTTAAAAAAACCAAACCATCAGCTTGCTAGTCTCAACTGAAACTCATCTGACCTATTTCTCATCAAAGCTCACAAAGCATTTAATTAGATAGCGTTCTGGTTGAATGGGAGAGCTGGACCCAGGACAGTAAGTCTGAACTTCAGAATATGTGGCTGTAATGTCTTTCCCTTTGACAATGGATCTTCATGGCATTTCTCAATAACTTCAGGGTGAGATGGTTCTAGTCAAAAGACACAAAGGACATAAGTTATGCCAGTTGCCAGGTGATTGGCCATCTTCTTTTCTCTCATGTTACGAGTTATATGTATTATCCACTTGAAGAGAGCAGAGCTAATCCTGGCAGCCCAAAACTGATGCAGAAGAACTTGTAGATCACTTTCATATCTAGCCACAAGGATCCTCCAATACTCCTCAAACCGAAAATATCAAGGGATATTTAATCATCCATCCCATGGTGAATACAGCTACAATATATGCATGGAGTGTCTATGGCAGACATGTCAAACACAAGGCCCGGGGGCCAGATGCGGCCCGTGAAGTGGTTTCATGTGGCCCGCAAAGGCATCCTGGAAACAGTGAGGGAATGGCCCCCGCTGCCTTGGCTCTGGCCCAGGCCAGCCGGGAGCCAATGTACAATTTTATGGTGGCCATCTATGCTGAAATGCATTCAGTCTTACGTAGCTCCACAAGGCCGTCTAGAAACAGCAAGGAACCAGCCCCTGCCGTGTCGGCCCCGCCCCCTGGGTGCATGCTGGGGAGGTGTCACCCTTTGTGAGGAATGAAGAAATGGACCATGCCTTGGCGCTTGCTCTGGTCCCACCCCCTTCTGCCAGAGACCCCCAGATCTGTCCCACTCCTGCCCAGGCCCCCACAGGCACCCTTGACGCAAACGATGTAGAGCTGGCCATACCCACCCAGTAGGCCACACCCACTCCATCCACGCCCACCCAGTAGGCTGCACCCACCCTGGCCGCACCCATCTGGCCCCCCCGAGGGCAACCGCAATATTGATGCGGCCCTCAATGAAATTGAGTTTGACACCCCTGGTCTATGGAGATTCTCAATCATCCAGATCATGGTTGTTCCAAAGGTGCTTTTCAAAAGGCAACTGGACTTCCTTGGGTTTTTTTTTTTCCTTGAACACATTTCACGTCTCATCTAAGAAGCTTCTTCAGTTCTGCTGAATGGTGGGGAATGAAAGATTTATATTTAGACGATTGCTAAGGAATATAAACCCTTCTGTTCCCTCACCATTCAGCCAATACTAAAGAAGCTTCTTGGATGAGAATTAAAAGGTCTTCCTCAAGGAAAAAAAAACAAGAAAGTCCAATTGCCTTTTGAAAAGGACCTTTGGGACAGATATGCATGATAGGCTTCATTAGTGAGGATTCACTGCTATTTAGACCATAATCCTGGACAGTATTATTGCAATGCAAATATATGAATAGACATGGGGAGCTTTTTACAGATAGAGCAGGACTAAAGTTTGTCTCCTCTCAGAGCATCTGACCCACACATTTTGTCCCACCAATTGAACTGTAGTAAACAAGAATCCTATTTTCTTTCTTTGTTGAACAAATCCTGGAATGAAAAAGTGCTTAATGGCAGCTGCTCCCTGATACATCGAGGTTGCATCTCTTTGATTTATGAGTCACAAGGTCCTTTAATTTTGTTTAAAAAAACAGATAAAAACTCATACACATTACAAAAAGTAAAACAATAAAAAGAGAAATATTGCAGAGAAAGGTATAACAGAGAGAGAGAAATAGATTAAAAAAACAAGACTATAACATAGAAAAAGAAGTCTCTAAATGTTTTTGCAAGAAGTCACAGTCTATTGCACAAGGAGAGCAGCAAGTTTTATCACGTTAGCCAATAAGACTCTTTTGGGGGATATTTTGGGGTGGGCACTTGATCGTCTATTTCTTCTTTTGCCAAACAATAAAAGCATTACAAATTGAATATTTTAACTGCTGCTGAATTTTTCTTTGGCAGGCCAGACTTTAAGTGGGCAATCTATTACTACTAATCTTGGGTTTTTTATTATGGCTCCTAGATATATGGGTCCATGTGGTAGGATGTTCTCTTCCTCTGTAGGAAAAGGGAATATTAGGGTAAAGATTCTTTTTTTACAACACTGAGTACTTCTCTCTCTTAAGTGTTCTCTTTGGTGGAAGTACTGTATTTTCTTTCTTCCTATTTCTGTTTTTATTATTGGAAGTCATGCTTCCAATTTTGATCTCAAAATAGATTACTCTGAGCTCACCAGAAATGCTCCAGGACTGTTCCAACCGGTCCCAAGGTATTTCAGCTTGAAACAAGGTGCTTTTGGAGACTGGAATGTTTCCAGAACGGTCACTGGGACTTCTGTAAGGTCGGAACAATCTGTTTTAAACCTGAAGCAGCAGTTTTAAGTTCAAAAAAGGATGTTTTGAGTGCCAAACAATTCTAATGAATCACTTATTATCCATCCCTTTGCAATGGGATGAAGAAATTTGACCTTGCTGCTTTAGCAAATCGGAGGAGTAACCCACTGTAGGAACCTTCACAATAAGTCTAGTGTTCTGTTTACAGCTGAAAACTATTAGAAGATCAATATCCAGCGTAATTTATCTAGGACTGTCTTTGAAAATAGGATAGCTAAACTCATATGAAAGATTTCTCCAGGAGGTTAATGTGAACAGCATTATCTGTTCTGAACTTTGTACTTGTGCCCTTCCAAACTGATGCTGAATACCTTTGTGAGCATTTGAACGAGCATTAAAGTCATTTTATCCCAAATGCCATTTTTAAAGAACTGGTATCTTATAACCTCTATTCTTCTTGTAGTTATGGTGTCTTTTATATGAATCTTCTGTCCCTTTCTTTGATATCATAAAAATGTGATTCTCCCAAGCTTCTGAGAATATACTTTATAACTGTATCTTATTCAAAACCTATTATACCCTTCAAAACTGAATTTAATTTAAACTAAATGGTTTTGAAAATCCAAACTATACGTTAAGAAGTTAGTGATGCTGCCAGATGCTGTTTATTTTTTTCCATTTATATTATCTTTATAAATAACTCAAGGCAGTGAACATATTTAATACTCCTTCCTCCTCCTATTTAAGACCCTATATTCCCCATAGCAACCTGTGGGGTGAATTGGGCTGAGACACAGTGATGGCCCTAAGGCCACCCAGATAGTTTTCCTACCTAAGGTGGGACTAGAACTCAGTCTTCACATTTCTACCCTGGTGCCTTAACTACTATACCTCTTTATATTTTTATATATTGATGCTTGTCAAAATCAAGTCTTATATGGGATATTTCCAACTAATGACATTAAAGGCAAAACCAAGGCTTTGATCTGGAAACCACTGCCTCACTAAGTTCTAAAGGAAGAGCTTCAAGAAAATGTAGTTTGTCAGCTAAGAAATAGTTTTCCATGTCAGACTAGAGTGAATAACTTAATACTATGTGATTCTACCGCTATAGGCCTCTTAGCTATTTCTTTCTGTAGGAACAGAAAGGAAAAATGCAAATGCTAGCTAACCATACATAGCTCCTAGATAACATATGCTCCATTGGGTCTTTGTTGCAGAAATATTTCCTTACCTAATCAGAGAAACAGAATGACATAGGTGGGCAAAAAAAGATCAATGGGAATGGGAATGACTATTGACTTCCTGTTGGCTTCCCTATTGAGTTTCCTTGTGGGAAACTGGCAGCGTGTGTTGAAAATCTTCCCTTCCCTTCCTTTCCCTTCTGTCCCAGCAGGCAGGTACCTGGTGGCTGCTGCTTGGGGAAGGGAATGAGGGATTGCACGAATGGCTGGAATCTGTCAGGCAACACTGAAAATGAGAATCATGTGCTCTCAATGGCACAGCAGCACTATTGAAGCAGCCACCATTTCCCCAAGTTTTATTCTCTAAGTAGTAAGGAGTCCAGGCATTCTGTAAGTTACCATATTTGAGGTACCTTGGTTGAAAAAGTTTTGTCCTATGATGCACAATTTTGTATCATATACAAAGGTATATAGATATTTAACTCATTGGGGTATGATGTCCATGGCGCACACACACACACATAAACCCACACTCCCTGGATGTGACTGTGTGTTTATTGGCTGAATGTCCTTCCTGATGCCTCTGCAGAGGTCACAGCAGATATTTTTTCTTTGTGTCCTAAGAGAGAAACATCTGCCAGTACCTAGGACTGAACTCTCAACTTTCTGATTGGGAGGCAGGTTTCTTCACCACTAGGCCATCACGCCCCCCCCAAACACACACACACACACACACACACACACACACACACTTGTAATTTACTTTTGTTCTTATGATTTACTGTTTTTAATGCCATGTGGAGGGGTACAGTGTATAAGATCTCAGAGTCTTTTCTAACTGGAGTGGTATATGTACCCTTCTTAAGAAATAAATGAATAAATATATTAACTTTTAAGAGTCTTTCCTCAGAATAATCAGAAATACCAGTTTCAATATTCAAATAAGCAGCATAGTTCACAAGAAATTACAAAAACAGTACTTAGACACTTGACTAATTTGAAAAATTCATAAGGGACAATTTGTAACATCTTTTGGGGCTTATTTACAAGTTGCTACTGAAATACAATTCAAAAACTGAACAAGTTAAGGACTGTATGAAATGGTTTATTACAGAATGAAACTAATCTTAAAAGTTGAATCTTCTTTCCTGTCAGCAGTTTTTCTGCTAAACTTCACTAAACTTCATATCCCTTCAAAATATACAAAGCTGATTTATGATAACAGTTCTAAGAATGCTTTAATAATACTTACTGGATGTTAAATACAATTCCTTCTTTACAAGAATGAAAATCAAATTATGGGAGTATGCATTCAGTGTCAAAAATAACTTCATATTGAAAAACAAGTCTGAGGTGGAATTTAAAAAAGAGAAGAAAACATTTATTTGGAAAATAATAGAATAAAGACTGATGTACAAGAACATAAATGAAAAAAAAAAGTGCATTTAAAAATATAAATACAAATGTAGCTGTGACTTTTTAAAAGAGGGCTGGAAATAATGAATGTATTTACTTTTAAAGTTCAAGGCCTTTACCAGATGAATCTAATGAAATACCTGTTTTCCCTGTCTGTCTTTCCCCATTCTCAAGTCACTTAGCGAAATGATACATTGTGCCTCTGCTGTATTTCTAATGAGAAAAGTCCTATCAGAATACAAAATAGACCTTTCCATGAAATAGCACCAATGTCATATTAAGCATGTGACTTTGGTATATTCGCTTTTCTTTACAAAAAGCAAAATTGGACCTCAAAAGAAAAAGGCGAATCCTGGAGTAATGCAGTGTTCTAATGAGTAAAAGTGAGGTATGAGAGGACATAAGTACGGTCAATATTTTTCTGCCTGTTACATGAGATTAAAAAGACTGCTAGAAATATTAAGAATGAGCTTACTCTGGTGTTATATACATGATTTCCCTTTTCCATCTCTTCTTTGCATTTTCTCCACCCAAAACCCCAAGTTTCCCATCTTTCTGGAACAAATCTGTGGGACATGTTGGATTCTGTAGGGAAGGGGTGGAGATTTGATCTCATATGTTGTATGATTATCTTTCTTTTGCATAGGTCCCAAATTTCATCAATGCATCTCTGCTACCTCATGAGCGTATCACGGCTCAAGAGATTGACGACTACTTCCGCCATGAGCTTATCTACAAGCGGAATGAGAGGATGGGCAAGCGAGTGAAAGATTTGCTGGAAGAGTATCCAGATAAAAGCTTCTTCTTTGCATTTGGAGCTGGTAGGTATACCTTTTAGATGTCTTTTAAAAGAGAACAATTAACCAGTGGAACAACCTGCCTCCAGAAGCGGTGAATGCTCCAACACTGGAAGTTTTTAAGAAGAGACTGGACAGCCATTTGTCCGAAATGGTATAGGGTTTCCTGCCTGAGCAGGGGGTTGGACTAGATGACCTTCAAGGTCTCTTCCAACTTTACTATTATTATTATTATATAACATGGATCAATTGATTCTTTGTGTTGGCAATATGAAAACATGCAATTCACAAGAGAACACACTGAATCATTACGCCTTCAATGCCAAACATGGCAATTCTTCATGCCATTAAAAGATGAGTTGCACTCTCATTAAATGTCTTCAATATCTCATTATAAAATCAGCTATCAATGGATTTTTCTTTGCTTTTTCTTTTCTTTTTTATGTGATTGTATAGTTATTATTTGTTTTCGATTTTTTTATTGTTTAAGCTGTCAAGAGTTGCTTTGTGAAATGGGTAGCTATATCAATCCAATAAATGCATAAATAAATTTAAATGCAGTCGCAAAAGCAAACTTATGGTTAAATTCAAAGTGACAGCATAGGTTCAGTGTTCTAGAATGGTATCATTTATAGCTGTATTCTATGTCTTTCCTCAAGGTGAAAATGATCTCTTAGGGAAGTAAGGATTTAGGCTGCAACCTCAATATAGAGAATTTTAATTGGGCTTATTGTAACATAAAAATTGGCTTCAAGTGGTGTTTTCCTCCTAATAAAATAGCCTCACCTGCTGGGCTGTACCTACTTCCCAAGTGTGAATGGTCTGAGAGCATTTTGAAAGATGTAAGCCAAGCCGCTGGATATAAATTTGACAATTTAGCTATGAAAAAATCAACAGTGCTTCTTTTCATTAAAGCAGGGGTCCCGAACCCCCAGTCTGTGGCTCAATATTGGTCTGTGGCCTATTGGGAACTGGGATGCAGAAATGAGTGGAGCTTCATCTGCCCTTGTGTGGGATCTAGGTAGCACCATAGCCCCTCCAGGTCCATGGGAAAAAAAATTCCACAGAACTGGTCCCTGGTGCTCAAAAGATTAGGGACCGCTGCATTAAAGCATGTATTTATGGCCCAAAATACCGGTAGTATTTTTAGAGGATTTTTTTTTTAATTGACTAGTGTATAATGTCAGACTGTACTACCTGGAGGAGTTACTGGAATACTCCATTACAAGGGGGAGGGAGTAATGTATTTCAGTGCTTATTTTGTGAGAGTAATTAAATTATCTCAAATATTATCTGTTCTGGCATGCATTAATATTACACTGGCAGAGAGACAGTATGTACCCAATCATCTGCATAATGTCCTTTTCCCTCAAGGAAAGACTGATCAGGCGCACATTATCCAGCCAGGCTTTGTATACTGCTGGGTGTTGGCATTGTGTAAATTAACATCTGCCACTTCTCCCTGAATTTCTGTTGGCATGTAGTGTGGAGTGTTAATGTTGTCTAATCCTTTTGATCATTGGTGTTAGCAAACGAATTCTAAATGTCAACCATTTTTTAAAGTTGGAGCACTCCGGACAGTAAATCTATAATTAAAGATTTATTTAAATATTTTTTGAAGCTATGTTCTGATTTAAATGTGCAGGTTTTGTAGACGAATGGCAGTAATTCTCTAATAAAGATTTTCTTATTAGGCCCTAGAATGTTTTCAAACATTCATGTTTGCAGCAGACTTCACCTCCCCTCCCCCACCGAAGTTTCTGTTTTGCCATTTTAGTGATTCCAAAGAGATTTGCAAGAGATAGTAGCACATATAACTTTTTAAATGAAAGTACTTCATTAGGATTCATAGACGCATGTCATTTACTCAGTATTGTTATGTGTTCACCGTAATATATTTTAATGATATATTTTATTTATTATTTAATATTATTGGTTTCCTAAACAATATTTTGATTAATATATTTTCTAACCCTGTTGTAGCCACAGCTGAAAATGTGAACTTACTTTCCTTAAGATATCATGCAACAAGGGTGGGTTGGTTGGTTGGTTTTCTCAACTGTGGTGAAGACAGTACAAATATGCAGTAGTTTAACGATATGCAAAAAGTTTTATAAATGTTTGCAGACAATTTAAATAGAATGCGTCTTAAAGCCGCCTTTGGCTTCTGGAGCAGTGGTGGGATAGCCGCCCAGAGTTGCTGTATCAGTGAGAAGGCAGTGAGAAATTTAATAAATAGATATAGATTGAAATACAGGTAGTCCTCGACTTAACAACAGTTCATTTAGCGACTGTTCAAAGTTATGGCCTCACTGAAAAAAGTGACATATAAACTTTTTGTAAGTTTTTCACACTTGCGACCATTGCAGCATCCCCATGGTCATGTGATCAAAATGTGACCGCTGGGCAACTGTTTCATATTTATGACGGTTGCAGCGTCCCAGGATCATGTCATCACCTTCTGTGATCTTCTGACAAGCAAAGTCAATGGGGAAGGCAGATTCACTTAATAACTTAACAATTGCAGTGATTCACTTAACAATTGTGGCAAGAAAGGTTGTAAAATGGGGCAAAACTCACTTAATCACTGTCTCATTTAGCAACAGAAATTTTGGACTCTATTGTGGCTGTAAGTCGAAGTCTACCTGTAATGGATTACAGTACACAACTCTTGAAGAGAAAACAGTCCTCTGTAAAGTGAGATAGAGATAGAGATAGAGAGATAGATACACATACACCATCCACAATGTAGGGCTATACTAGATCTCCCTGTACCTATATCTCCCTGAGTTGCTTTAGCTGATTTCTCTGTACCAGATAAGGTCACAGTTGGCAAAAGCCCTCTTGACTTCCATCTGTTGTTCAAGCAGGAGCCGTAAGGCCAGAAGGGGTGCCCAAATCTCAAATCTGCTATTTCTGGAATAATACTTGCCCAGAGATAATAACCCTGATATTAATAGAACATTCTGACCAACAGTGCTAACTCCTGAGTTCAACTTCAGTCTGTTTTGCCCCATCAAAACCCTTAAGATCTTAATGCATTAGGACATTGGCAGCATCTCTCCTACAGCCCAGGCTGGTGATTTAAAGTGGATATTTGAGTGAAAATACCCAGTGAGGAAGAAGAGGAACGAATGCAAAATAATATCCTCGGGCTGCAATCCCCATAGAGTTGGGGTCCAATGGTCCAGTAAGATACCATAGGTCAGGGGTGTCAAACTGCCGGCCTGTGGGCCGGATGCGTCATCCGGAAGCCAAGTCCACCCCATTGCCGGCAATGGCAAAAGCGTCCCGATACGTTGCGCGGTGTCACGTGACGTCGCGAGTATGACATGTCTGCCATAGGTGATGATATCAAAGGTCACCAAAGGTAAAAAAGGATAAGGAGGGGCATGCTACCTTCATCTAAGTTCCAAACTGGCCATCTAAGAAAGTAGTCAATATTACTTTTGTCNCTTTTGTCTCATTCCCAGGTTTGAACCCTGACTGAAAAGCCTCCAAATAATTTGCTTCTTTTAGGGAGCCGCAATATTGGTCTAACACCTTTATATGTTATGTTGCCACCTTTCATGGCTAAAGCACTGTGAAAATGGCTTACACCTTCCCAACTGAAGCTTATCCACATTGTGGGATCTGGCTTGTTCAAGGCTGAAGGGTGCTTCCTCTTTAAACCTAGAAACAGGAAGTAAACATCAGAGAAAGGATCTACTACTAAACAGCAATCTGTGCAGTAGGGAAAAGCCCTCTAGGATATAAAGTTCTGTTCTCTTTAGCAGGACGCAAAACATTTAAAAGAATATAAATCTGGTTCTGTTGTCAGTCTTGAAAGAATAAATCCACCTTTTGGGGGAGGGGGTTGGGGAAAGAGGGCAAAAAAGGGAGAGAAATAAACCTTCATTAGAACAGTGGGTACCTCTCTTTATTTAAGACTAGATGAAAAGACTACGGCTTATTTACCCACTTGGGTAGAATTGATACTTACAAGGAGATCTCAGTTTCTCCCGTTCTTGAGTTTGAACACAGAACAATGGCTGCCAAAGTAAATTGACCTCCCGAACGCCTGTGTTCATGTAGTAGGGTAGGGATAATGGAGAGCTGAGTGCAAAAAGAGAGGGAGGGACTTCTGCTGGCACAAGGGTCCGGGGCAGGGGGGGGAGGGTTGGCTTTCTCTTTGGAGTCACTCAAGTGTGTTAGGCCAAAAGAGGAAACAGATGAAAAGGGTTTCTGCTCCCTATCATGCTTCTGTGGACAGCCTCCCGCAGGAGTTGAGACTGCTTGATCTTAACGCTTCTGGGGGTGAATTCTAACCGTGTTCATTCATAGCTGCTTTGAAAGAAATGTTGAAAGTGGTAGGCGAGTGAATCTCTTAAATTAAAGCAGTTCTCTAATTGCTGGAAAGTCTAGGATGTGCCTGTGTTTGGACAACAACATCCAAGTACATTTCTGCCAAGGATTTCTAGTAGAAAGCAAGCAACTTGCAGTGCAAAGATAAGATCCTTGCTGCGAGTTCAATTGTGCAGGTAGATTTCAGGACAGGGGAGAGACAGATTATCACAGGTGAGTGCAATGCACTCAGAGTATGGTTTGTTGAATACTATAGTATGTTGTTGACAGGCCAGTCATTCCTCTGCGGTATTCTTTCCCTTTCCCAGACCTCTTTCACAGGGGTAACTATCTGACTTTCCATTAATTTTAGCTTTATTTCAAAAATCTTAAAAAGACCATGGTGGTGTGGTTGTAGTTGCTCCTGGCAGTACCAATTGTCCTGAATATGAATTACCAACAAAGAGGAATGGACTTCATGCATCTTAGAAATTCTGTCACATTCCTGATCCATGACGTGGTAGACAGCTTGTTTCATATGTTAATGGCTACAGTCAGAATATGTTTGTTTCTGTTTCCAGTCGTGTTTAGTATCCAACTATTTTCTCTTTGTCTTCTTGCAGGGTACAGCTACATCCTCTCTGCCTTTCAAGGATATGCTATTATAGTGTTTATTACACAATATCTTTTTCTTCCTTTGAAGGTTCAAAGCCAGTTTCTTCTGTAAGAGCTTCAAAGCTGTTTTTGAATCGGAGAATATCTTCTGTGTCTCTTGCTTCTGCTTGTCATTCTTATCTGCTGTATTTGTTCCTTTGTTTAAATTTCTTCCTTATGGACAGTTGCTTCTTTTATCGGTTGCTCTTGTATCATCTCCTTTGTTCCAAAAAAATCTTTGTTCTTTCTTATGAATGGGAATATGGTCACTGCTGCTCCATTTCTTACCTTGAAAATTAGACTTCTTTTTAAAAAATCACATCAGTATAATAATAGTGCCTGAATATTAATTAGGAAAATAGTATTTTAGGAAGGTAATAGGTATCATCTTTCATGCGTGTTACAACAAAAAACACGATGTTGAGTAATGATGAATTTCTAAAGATTTGTGTGTTTAATACTTATAATAAGTTAGGATGCTATTTCTGAGGCAATAAATAAATTTTCTTCCCAAATCAATGGATCGTCCATGTTTCATTATAGAGTTGAGTGAAATACTCTTTAATAATAGTTAAAGGATTGGAAGTATAGCATTTTTGAAACACCATCATATAATGGTATAATTATAATGTGGACTTTGGATGGAGAGGACCGTTGGTTTAAAAGAGGGGTCAAAGAGGCCATCTATGTCAAAATTAAACAGCCCTCTCTTAACAGAGGGGGAGAGATCCAACATCATCTATCTCCAGTCTACAACACAGTCCTTTCAGCAGTTCCAAGAAGGCTCCATACTCATTTGCACTTTTCAGGTGACCCTGACGACACAGATAAGCCTCCAGGTGGTTTCAAAGACTCTCTAAAACAGGGGTGTCAAACTCACAACGTCACGTGACATGTCGCAATGTATCGCAACTTTTTTGCCATTGCTGGCAATGGGGTGGGCATGGTTTCGCTATGATGCATCCAGCCCATGGGCTGGCAGTTTGACACCCCTGCTCTAAAAAGAATGCAAATGACCAGCTTTCTGCAAGGAATATAAATCCTTCCATTCCCTACCATCCAGTCAGAGCTGAAGAAGCTTCTTGGATGAGAGAAAAAAGAGAAAGTCCAGTTGCCTCATGAAAAAGCACCTCCGTGCCAGGCATGACCTGGATGACTGAGAATCTCAATAGACATTGAACAAGACATGACCTTGATTAAGAGCCCTGGTGGCACAGTGGTTAAAGTGCAATATTGCAGGCTAACTCTGCCCACAGCCTGCAATTCGATCCTGATGGAGCTCAAGGTTGATTCAGCCTTCTACCCTTCTCAAGTCGGTAAAATGAGAACCCAGATAGTTGGAGGTAATATGCTGACTCTACCACTCAGAGAAGGCTGTAAAGCACTGTGAAGCAGCATATAAGTCTCAGTGCTATTACTTTTGCTAAAATCCTATGTTTCCTATCTATCTTCCATTTCTTTTTACTCAGTTAATTATTTTTTATGATTCCTCATAGAAACCTACTGAGACTGTCTAGTATGGACCTTTCCCAGATTACCTCATCATGTAGGATAAGGCCCTGCTGTGATGTCTCCCAATTCATGGGAGATGTTTCTGCTGCCTTTTGCATTAGATTGCTTGCAGATAGGCATGGGGGGTTCTCGGGAGCTTGATAATCTTCAATTTTGCATTAATGCTTCAATAACAGTTTTCAGCATTACTTTTATTACTATGTTTTAAGAGAAGGTTATGTTTATATTGGTGGTTTCTAAGTATCCTATTTTTAGGGTTCACTTTCTACTGAGGATATTGATAAAACTGAGCAAGTCCAGTGAGAGCCAACAAAAATGGTGCAAGGTCTAAGGGACAAAACATCTCAGGAGAGATTGGAGGAACTAAATATGTACAGCCTGGAGGACAGAAGGGAAAGGGAAGACAGGACTGAGTCCTTTAAATATATTAAAGGTGTGAATACGGTTCTAGAAGTCAGTATTTTCAATATGAGGCAAAAATCAAGAACACGGGGGGGGGGCACAACTTCAAACTGACAGGAGGTAAATTTAAAAGTAATGTTAGAAAGTATTACTTCACAAAAAGCCTGGAACCAACTTCCAATGGAGGTAGTGAATCAGTCCTCAGTACCTGAGTTTAAAATGCTTGGGATAAAGATGTCCATCATCTGACAATTTTTTAAAAAAAAATTAAAATAATAATTAAAAAATAATAAGAAAACAAAAAAAAATCCCCAAAACTCAAAGTCCAGACTCGATGGACAGTAGGTCTTTTTCTGCTGTCAATTTTCTATGTTTCTATGTTTCAATATAACTAGACTTAAATCCAGCATGATTAGATTAATTTTCTGTATTTCTAGCAGCTTTTCTCAACCTCAGTCCCAGCTGTGGGATGGCAGGTTTATAATAGAGGCTTCCTAGAATCGGTTAAAGCAGGTGTTCATGTAAACTTTGCTTTGTTGTACTTAAAAATGTTATTTGTGTATTTTGATTAATGTTACTTGGGGCTTTTCTCTTTTATTACCTAAAGGTCATTTCATGGGCAACAACACAGTCATAGATATTTTGAGGAGAAAGGGATATGAAGTAGACCATACATCTCCTGGGCAAGCAATCAGGTAACTACTGCTTTAACAATCATGATCTCAAGTTTCTTCAGGAAACAAAATATCATAGAAAATGTATTAGGGAGTTGAGACTACTGCCATTTTATTCAAGGTAAAAAAGTTGTGAACCTGGTCAACTTGTAGAATGAAAAACTTCTCAGTTTCCCACTCCCTCCTCTGCCCCTCACTCATGCCTCAAGTTCTCTGATGGAAAAAACACAGGGTGATCATTGTGTCAATAGTCCTACAATGTAGAAGCTTAATATTTGTAAGATGAGTGAAAATATAATGCCTCTATAGCCATCATGCACTATAGTTTCATGAAATAGTGCAGTGATGGCGAACCTTTTAGAGACCGAGTGCCCAAACTGCAACCCAAAACCCACTGATGCATCATCGAGTGCCGGGTGGGCGTGGCCCATTGCCTGGGCGTGGCTGCAGTGGTAACGGCAGACTAGGTGGGACTAAAAAGTTCAATCAATCAATTCCAACTTTGCAAGATCTTTTTTTTTTCCTGTGAGAAGTTGAATTTGACTGATTGATCGAACCTTTTTTTTTTGTGTACACAGCGGTGGAGGCCTAAAGCGAAAAGGTTTTATAAAACCAAGCTGAAGGCCTAGGACTCGGGCGACGGCACGCGTGCCCATAGAGAGGGCTCTGAGTGCCGCCTCTGGCACCCGTGCCATAAATTCGCCACCACTGAAATAGTGTTTCCAATTTACTCTAAAACTGAGGCAGGATATAATTTTCTTCCAGATGACACAAATATTACTCTTCTCTAAGGGATATCTATCTTCTATCTATCCATGGTAGATGGAACTGGATGTCACTTTCGTGAGTTGCTCTCTGCTTCAACAACTTATATCCCTCTCTAAACTTCACTTCTTCACTTGATAAATGAAGTGCCAAGTTATGACTTCCATATGTGAATAATTTTCCACAAATGTAGCAGACTTGACAGGTCCTATACATCTTTTGGCATTCACACAGATAGCAACACCAGAAAGTTTCATATCAACCAAAATATGATCTCTTCAGAGGATGAAAGCTGATTCCAGAACAATTCCTCCAATGTAGAGTGCCAATAATTTCGGTAGTCCTTTAAGAGAAGCAGGAACTGGGAAATAGCAGATACTGTATGAACATCCATTCAATTCTGTCCCGATGCAAAATGAGAGTTTAATTATTATTTTATATCTTGTTTTAATACAATTAAAATATACCTCAATAAATAGATTTTTGTATCACAAGTAATTATCAAAATGGCCTGATAGGGGGAGGTTTCAAAGAAATACAAATAATTTCAATTGACAAAGGTCATTCTAATTGCAACAGCAGAAGAATAGAACTAATCTTTTTAATACTGTAACTGTAAGAAGTAAAAGTATGTTGTGATCAGCATATAATGAAGGTGGTTAAGTATTTGCTCATGTTTCTACAGAATGGAAAGGAATATTTCATCTTCTTTGACTGCCTTTTCCTTCAATATTAAATCACTTGGAAGCAGGCTTTATCCTTTTGCTTAAACATTCTTTATGGATGAGTCATTGACTGTTGATTCATCAGAGAGAATGGGAAATATCGCTGTACAATTTGTCAGTGAATTCTAAATGCTGCTTTCTCTCTTGTTGCTTTTCGGAAAAGCAACGTACAGACTCATCCTGTTCCCATCTGGATTCTCCAGACAATCCTTTGTGTTTCATCTCCTATTTGCCTGGCTTTAAATAGTTTATCTGAAGTTTATTTTACATTCCCATTCCTGAGCTAAGGTTCAGTGGGTGAATTTCATTGAGCATTAAAGGCATGGAGGGTGTTTGTTTTTGTTTCCGCCTTTCTTGCGAATTCAGCTCATTGGAGAAAGAAAAAGGAAATCACATAATACCCACTGCTTTGTAAATGCTACATTTTTCTATACGTTGCCTTTAAGCATGCATTGGATAGTTGTGTGCGTATGATTTTTTTTTGTGTATTTGGAGAGGATGAAGATAATCTCTCCAACCCCATGATATAGATTATTGTCCTTTCAATGTCTTTAATATCAAAGAGTAGATTTTCCTTTACTCATCCTTTTAGCACATTATGTGGGCAATCATTCTATGGGCAACACAGTATCAGAAGTGGCTTTGTGTCGGAATGCTATTTCTGTTATATTTATGGCAATTTGCGATATCCTGTGGTCACATGACCACATGTTACGATGGCTTTGCCAAAAATCGACACATACTGCCAGTTTTTGGCAAAACTGTACCATACCAAACAATCAGTTTGCTTAACAACCACATCTGCACTTACGATTTCTGTGGTTTGCTTAATGATAGCTGCAACAAATGTAAAATCAGGTCAGTCATGTACCTATCCCATTTTATTACAATTTGTGACCATAATGGCTGTATCTTGAGGACAATCTGTACTACTAAAACTCTTTTAACTGGGTGAAATGATGCATCATAGGACAAAACTTTTTCAACCAAGGTGAAAAAGTACCTCAAAATGGGATAACTTGCAGAATGCCAGGACCGATTACTACTGAGTTAATGAGATTTGGGGAGGTGTGGCTGCTTCAGTGTTCCCAAGCTGCTGTCAATTTCCCACTGTGGCAGTCATGTCATCTTTATTTTCAATGCTCCTTGAAAGCTTCCTGGCCATTTGCACAATCTCTTGTGTAGCAGCAGCCATTATGTACCTGCCCTATGGGAAGAGAAGGGAAGAAAGAAAGAATGGAGAAAGGAAGAAAGGAACAGGGAGGGAGGGAGGGAGGAAGGAAGGAAGGAAGGAAGGAAGGAAGGAAGGAAGGAAGGAAGGAAGGAAGGAAGGAAGGAAGGAAGGAAGGAGGGACAGCTTCCCATAGGGAAATTCAATGGTGAAGCCAACAAGAAGTAAAAAAATCACTCCTGTTCCCTCTGAATTTTGGCCGGCCCATGGCCATTCTGTTTCTCTCCTTTAGATAAGGAAACATCTCTGAAATGATAACCCAGTGGGACACAGATTTTTTTAGTACCTTATTAGAGCCTGCTTTAAAAGGAAGGTGAATGGGCACTTTTGCTGCCTTGAACATTTTTGGCACTGTCAAGGAGGGTGAGGTGTTTGCAGCACACGAGACTCGAAACGTTCGCTGCAGTTTACTTGTTCTGTACATTAACTCGGAAGACAATCAACCCTTATTCTCAACCTTATTTTATTTTGCTTTTTGTAGTGGAAAAAATCGACAGAAATTATTGTCCGCCCTCTCCTCGACATCCCCAGAATATGCCTCTTTCATTATCTCACAAGAGATCCAACAACAGCAGGAGGAGGAAGAGGAGGAAGAGTTGTTGCTCGACACATTATTGCCCGAAAACATGGACCTGCTGGAGAAAGCAGAGAGGAAGTACAAGAAGAAGAAGAAGAAACAACCGAAGAAACAGCGTCAGTTCAATGACCTTTGGGTGCGCATCGAGGAAAGGTAATGAGCGAGTAGAGGCAGGCAATACATTTCTGAGAAAGAGCAAAAAGGGAGCCCCTTAAGAGGAACATTATTTGTTGGCTTGTTGGTTTTTCTGCCTACTGCAAAAGAAAGATTCTCTGCGGTTATAGTAAAAAACAATGCAATAAAATACCCATAATATAATTAAAGCAGCCCAGATCAAACTCTGAAAGGCTCTCTGAAATACTTTGGTTCAGTTCAGTTTTTAATAATTCACAGAAAGCCAACAGTGTGGCGGTCTGATCAAATTAGCAAGAGGAGGGTGTTCCTTCAAATCTCCAACCCACATACCTTGTGATGGGGGGAGTGGGGGAGAAACTCAACAGTGGTTTCTCCTGGACATTTATGTTGGATAGTTCAAAACTGGTTGCAGAAGATGATCCTACAGGTGTCTTGGTGCCAAGCTATATGGATTTATAGGTTAAACAAGTTCTCGAAATTGCATTTGGAAGCCTATTGGAAACTAGTGAAGATCCAGGGCATTGATGTCATATGCTTGTCTTAGCATATATCAGCCAACACATTCTGGACCAATTCTAGTTTCTCATTGATATTCAAAAGCAGCCTAAAGTAGAACATATTGCAACAGTCCAGACAAGCCATGTTGAGGCCATGACTCATTGTTACAAGGCTGTCTCATTTTAGGTAGGCTGCTACTAATGCACCAGCTGTCCATCCAGTAATAGCTGTGAGTCTAGGAGGATTTGCATTCTTAGAGGTAGTACCATCCTTCTGAGAGGCAGTATTGGAATTCACAGAGTATTCATGAACACACAGTAACATATAAAAAAAGAGTAACACAAAAATATTGTAAGCTTAGGCAAAAGGTTCTAGCACTCCGTATCACATATTAGTTCATTGTGTATATCTGGAAAGTTCACAATCAAGATAGCTGTTGTTGTCCAACAAATCATATTTAAGAGACACTCCCTTTGATGCAAAAGGATATTTACATAATAAATAGCCACAAACACCAATAGCCACTCATAGCCAGATCAGTGAATTTGCCTTAGGCCTTTTTAAAACCATCTAAATTAATCAGCTTCACTATAATTAATGCAGTAAATTCTATCATTAAGTATTGCAAAGAAATAATAGGGTAGATGTGATTCTTTTAGTTTTTGGGTTCAGCAATAGAGGCTGAACTCTTAAAATTGCAAGAAAAGGAGAAATACATTTTTGTTCATATTTTCCACATCATCTATAACCTGGTCATATTTTATCTCGGTGCTCCCAAACTTTTTCCTTCATTACTCAGATCTGCCTATCAGAAAGTTCTTATTTAAATATCCCTGTTGTGATTGGGTAATGGGTTCATGTGTCACTTGCCAAAGAAAAAAGACTTTTATCCTATTTTGTGTAATTTATCCAGGTTTGGGAAGCACTGTGTTTATCTTATCCAAAAGCCAAAATAGTTCTGTTCTTAAATTCTCAATCTTAAGAAAAAAAGATCAAAGCTATGGTTATAAAGAACAGGCCTTGCTACAAAAAAATTTTTTTCAAGAAAACATTATCATTTCAAAAGTGAAAACATTCTAGAGGTTCCAGTTGTCATGTATTGTAATAAATGGACATTTACAAATGTTAAAAAAACAATATTTGCAATTTCTGGTATTTTCTTGTTTCATTGTTAATAACCTGACTAAAGGATGGATGAATATAGCTATATAATCTGAAAGTATAGATGGAGAACTGTGACAGCATATAAATTAATCATTCCACATTATTTGGTTTGGAGCGGGACCTTTTATAGTGCCGAACACTGGGGAAAAAAGAGCTTTTTTGTTGATTTCTGGAAGTTAAGTAGGACATTTAGTTTTGGTTCCTTTTGGAGAGATCTGCATCAGTGTTGTTTATTTATTAAATTTATATGCTGCCCATCTCACTATTAAAACTATTTGTTCTTCACATAAACTGCCAACTGGCTATTTTTCTACATATCTGTGAATATCTTTTATATATATATAACTTTAAGGATATGTGGGTTTAAAAGGGACCTTAACTACCTTCAAATTTCCCAAGTTCCTTTTTGTTTAATGCAGAGGTCTCCAACCCCAGGGCTGTGGCCTATTCGGAATTGGGCCGCATGAGTGGTGGACTGGAGTGCGTATACACGCAGCTCCACTTGTGTGAGCGGTAAGCACTTGCACGTGTATTTGCCAGCAAAACGCAAGTTGAGCTACATACACGCCAGCCCACCTCACGTGGCCCAGTTCTCCTCTCCCGCCCCGCCCCCCCAGCCAGGCTGCCAAGCCACAAAGGTTGAGGACTGGGGGTTTAATGCACTTTGCCACACAGAAGTAAAGTAGAGTATTGCAGCTAGACTAGACTGACTGGTTTAATTTGAAATTAATATGTTTTTATTTAATTGATGAATGCTTACTTTAAACAGAGCACTAATAAACCAGGTGGTCAGAAAGGAATGCAAAATGATGTCAGATTTTCATTCCTCACTCACACATGTTGAATATCATTGGTCCATTTCTTGCATCTTTTGCATGGTTCATCTTTTGGAGATTTAGTTCCAGTTTCTGGGGCCTCTTCTCAAGTATATCCTCTCCCCATATATGACATATTAATTGGGGAGAGGAAAGTGAGGGGAAAGAAGAGAATTGGTTTTTAAGGAAGCTGGGATGGAATGCTTTCAATTTTATAATTGTGCCCATAGCCAAGGTTAATATATTTCTGCCCAAGAAAATATCTATCCTCAAGCCAGGAAGGTCAGAATAATGGATCAATTACAGAACAACCCAAGGTTTAATGGTTCCATGGGAAAAGTCAGAAGCTTTAATACTGTTTGATGTTTCTGATTCTGAAAGTTGATTTTAAATCAATGCACATTTGCTGATATGGGAAATATCTGACTATTGTTCACCTTAGGAAGATTGTACAAAATCTGAAAAGACTATAATTTGAATTGCTTTAGAAAAAAGTGATGATATGGAGAAAAAATAAAGCAAGTCAATGGTTTTGCATACTTTGGCAGAATATCTATGAATGCTTACTGAGGATAGAAATGTGGATGGAGAAATTTTAAGATGTGCAAATGTTGATAGTAAGCTAATAGGAAACTGCAAGGAGTGAATGTCAAAAGAAGCAAAAATGTACTGTATGTGTACAAGACTACGATTTGTTATAGGATGTCAGATTCGGGAATGTAAAGAGAACATAAAAATTCCCATTTGAATGTAACAGGAAAGAATTCCCTAATAACAAGAAAACCCCATTTCATATCATTGGCAACTATAATGTGACTGATGTCAGGAAACTGGATTACTTTTACTATATATTATGCATGGAATGCAGAGGGAAGATTCAATGGATGGCTTCCATATTTGGTCAAAGATCTACAGAACTGTGCAGTGTAACTCTTCTTATTAGGCAATTGTAACCTTTGACAGAATCTGTCCAGCTTTTTTTCCCCTTTTGATCAACTGCATTTAATTGGAATTTTCTTTTCTTTCTTTTTTGTCTTATAGCACCACTGAGCCACCTCTGCGGATTCATATAATTAATGGTTACATTTCTGTGGAACCTCAGCCACGAGGACACAAGCAATCCAGACATATCCAGGCAGACAGGAGCTGTTCTACCAGACCCTTTCTATTCTTCTTCACGT